GCTGGTTTCGAACTCCTGAGCTCAAACAATCCGCCCGCCTCGGCCTCCCAGAGAGCTAGGATTACAGGCGTGAGCCACCGCGCCCGGCCTCTCAGCCAAATTTTATGCCTGTAACATTTCATTCCAAATTCAGTAATCTGCCAGAGTCATCTGCTCTACTCATTCATTGAGCCAGATTCCCAATTCCTTGTGGCCTAACAGTAGCTTCCCTCTGAACTTGATCCGCAGGGTAAGATCTCATTCTGATTCACAACTCTCTAACACAGCAGATCAAACAAACTCATTATCATTTCTTGCATTTTTGCCCTACCATGGGAACATTCCCTACGGAAAACCTACTAATGTTCCATTATCATCACAGAACCCCAGAACTTTAGAAATGGAAATAATAAACATCATTCAGTTGAAGAGATTAAATGATTTTCTCAAAGCTAGGTAACTGGAGAGCTAGTACTACAAGGCAGACCCTTTGGCACTTAGGCTTGTTTCTTTTCCAGTATAAGCCCATCATCTTCCAACCTTCATCTTCTTGATGGCTATACAAAATAAAGGTCTAATAACAATCAGCCTTCAGATTATATTTCCTAAACTAATTTATAGTTTACTTCTATCCTACATAAATCAGTGACATCCCTTACTCAATACTGGTACTGACCTACAAGATTTGTTATAATAATTTTTAAGACTAACAAGACAATAATCTAGAGACTCATCAACCAGGTAGTGGTAAAATAAACTGGTACACCAATGACATGTATGCCATGGTTAAAAATGAGGTAGGCTTTCATGGTCTGACATAGAAAGGTCAAAAACACATCATAATAAGAAAAAAGCAAAATTGCAGAAACATACATATGTGTATGTTTATATACACATGTAATTATTCCATTTATGGGGAAAAGCATATGGATATATTTAGGTACATAAATGTATACAAAAGGGACTGGAAAGGTATTCCAAATTACTAATAACAATTAGCAATAGCTAGAAAAATAAGGAGTGGAGGTGCAGGAGGGAGCATTTACATTTTGTCCACATACTTTATTATTTGAATCTCTTAAACAAGATGTATTTATTTATTATAAGAGCAATAAAAATGAAAAAAAGAATCTAAAATAACTATAATACAGGGTGTCCCAAAAGTTGCCATACGTAGAGAAAATGG